GAATAACTAGTGCCTGGTTTGATGTGTATTGCATCAGGCAGAGGGGCTTTTGAAAGAGATTAAATTTCCCTATATAATCGACTATCTGTGTGTAAGTCTGACTTCACATTTTAAGAGTTTTAACACTGTCACAACAATGCATGAAGAGGCTAATTTTCTAACTGTTACTGATTTTTTTTATATATTTTTTTTTTTTTTTCATATTTGTGGAAACTTGACCATTCCTTTAGATCACTGAAAACCAAACAAAGGCAGGTTGGCCAGGGGCCAACAAGGTTGGCCAGTCCTTTTCCATTCACACCGCCCGTTACTGCAGTTAAATTTCCTGAGGCTCTGTAGACAAACTGTTAAACCTTGTCCCATGCGGGGCACGCGGTAGATTCTGCAGTGTAGCTCACCGTGCACCAGCCTTCCCGTGTAGAAATATCCGGAAATAAATTCGACCCATTTCACCTATTTTTATTAGCTTGTGCAAGGAGGGTGTGAAGGGAAAAGTTGCCGTGTCTGGCTGGGACTCACTTGCAGTTCTGACGAACGCCAACCCGTGTCCCCAAGAAATAAAAGGTGAATTTCACAGAATTCACAGAATTGTTAGGGTTGGAAGGGACCTCTGGAGATCATCTAGTCCAACCCTCCTGCCAGAGCAGGGTCACCTACAGCACGTTACACAGGACAGCGTCCAGGCGGGACGCTACTGCTAAGCTGCTACATTACTAAAATGGTGTTATCTGCCTTGTAAACTTTTCGCTTTGCAAACAAACTTTATAGGGTTATTTTTGGTGGTTTGGGTGGGGTTTGTTTTTGGGTTTTGGTTTTTTTTTGGTTTTTTTTTTTTAAGGTTACTGTAAGTACATATTTTTCATTTGGACAAATTTTTAGCCACCTAGTGAAACTGCTCAGAAAACGTTGGGTCCCTTTTAGTCTCATTCATTTTTTCTCCTCTCTTACTTTTCAGAATTTTACTTCCTCTCCCCCTTGCTGCCTTCCCCATCCCTACTGTCCCCTCCCCCACCCGGAATGACCTCCCTCGATCTGCTGGCCACACTCTTCTTGATGCACCCCAGGATGCCATTCGCCTTCTTGGCCGCCAGGGCACATTGCTGGCTCCTGGTCATCCTGTTGTCCACCAGGACTCCCAGGTCCCTCTCCACAGAGCTGCTCTCCAGGAGGTCAGCCCCCAACCTGTACTGGTGCATGGGGTTATTCCTCCCCAATTTGTCACCTGCAGTGGGGTTCTGTGTTCTCCCGAGTGTGTGTGACCTGTGTGTGTTCCCAGGGCATTTGCAGACTTAGTTTTAATTTTTGTAGCCAATGGGCAAAATTGACTTGCCAGTTAATAGATGTTCCCATTACTCCGTGGTGCTGAGCCTAGAGGAGGGAGCGCATCGGAGCCTTGGCACCTCTTCTGTGTTCTTGCCGTCTTGGATGTTCTCTCTGTGCGTGTGCATGTATATGTGTGTGTGTGCGCATAGGTAAAGCAAAGCAAGGTATCTGGAGGTGTTTAACAGACAGGCAGACGTGGGGCTGAGGGACATGGGTTAGTGGTGTGTTTGGCAGTGTTAGGTTGATGGTTGGACTCGATGATCTTACAGGTCCCTTCCAACCTAGACAATTCTGCAATTCTATAAGGTGAAGCCTATGGACTTACCACGTCCTCCCCTGGGGCCAGGCTGCCGTGCCCACGCGCAGTGGGAAGGGGCAGTCACCTCTGCCAGTGACATCTCTGCCGTCCGCACTGGGCTGTGTGTCCCACCTCCTCACGAGACAGAGATTTTATTGACAGACTCCAGTGATGGGTTTAGGAAGACTTTTATTTAAAGCATAAAATTTGTGCGTCCCTTTTTAGAAATCAATACAGGAAGAGTTTAGACTTTTCCCTTTGCTTAGCCTACATCCTCCAGCTACGGCTGCTGTTTATTATCACATTAATTGCAACTACGCTCTAGCTGCGAATGGCCAGAGACAGGAGCCTGGGCTTGGTTTAGTGAGTTTTAGTATTGGAGTGTGCTGAATTGGCTGAGCCCCCTCAGTGGAGCTGCTCCAGTGAGGATCTGGATGAACCCCAAGGACGAGCAGAAGCTTCAGCCTCCAGCGAGTCCATGTCTTCCCAGCAAGGCTGTGGGTGACAGCGCTGGTGGGTTTGTGCTGTGGGCACACCAGCTGGAAGCATCATCAGAGACCACAAAGCAGCATCCACATAAGCCGGTACTGACCATCACTGCCAGCACAGGCTGGTCCAAGAATGAGACCTGGTGGCACACAAGGCTCCGAGCCACCGAACCTGGCATGAGCTGACCCAGGGTGGCCCATGGCTGGGCTTTGCTGTCTGCCCCTTATGCGTGGTCAGTCACTTGGCTGGTGGCCGCGTTGCTGCCGAGCCCTTTCCAGGCACGGAAGCTGAAGAAGGTGCTCACCCTGTAGGCAATCATTGTGAGGCAGGCGAAGAACTGGAAGAGGAGCACACCCCATGTGTTAAGTGCAGTGGCCACCCCAGGCCCGTGGCCCTCACCTTCCCACTGCTACTTACAGACGCCGCGGCTCTCCGGTTGTAATCCCACTGCCGCCAGGACGTAGGCTGGACAGCGGCTGCGCATGTTACGAAGGCGGTGATGTACAGGATGGTGGCTGCAGCGTTGAAGATCATCAGCTGGGGAAAGCAAAGAGGAGGTCGTGAGGTCTGGGCTCAGACTTGTACATGCTGGGATGAGCAAAAGGCTCTGTTTCACATTCCTCCCTCTTCCCCAGGAAAACCAGAGGAAAAGGGTCCAGCCCCTCACACTGGGAACAAACCTCAGGTTAATATCTCATTAAATGCACCCCAGGTTGTGCTGAAAGGTTTCTGGTTGACACCACGACTGCAGCAGTGACATGGTGGCCGTAACTTTCTGGATTGATACAGGACTCCCTGTTTTGAAAAATTTCTATGCAATTGAAGAGCAGAACGAAACAATGTCATTGTGCAAAGTGCAGAGGACTTTGTTCCATCAGCCCAGAAGAGCCTGAAGCCCTGGTCTTCTCAGAGCATCTCCCCAGGATGTTTCCCACTTGGTTTCCCGCCTCGCTCCCTCTTGGCTACATACCACGAGGGGCCAGGGGATCATGTAGAACTTCAGCTGAAGCTGCAGCAGGTAAATCACGAAGAAAAGGATTGTTACTATCCAGAAGAAGATAGACACGAACATCACCCAGCCATATGCCGCGTGGAGGTGGTACGTTGTGTCGGCGATGAGAGCCCACACTAGTAAGCCAAGCACCTGTGGGATGAAACAGGGAAAGCATTGAGGTGGTGGTTCCTGCAGGTGGAAAGCAGAGCATAGCCCATGAGCCTGGGCTCACCAGCACCTAGAGCCGTTGTGTCACCCTGGCTCCAGCAAAGCAAGGCTGGACCCTGGGGACAGCTCAGGATGGGGAGCCCACCTGGGACCCTCGTTGCTTGGGGGTGGGATTGTACCCAGGAGCCAGTACAGGGATGTCCTGCAAGGCAGGAGAGGTGAAACCTGGGCATCCTTACCACCGAAGGTCCCTTCTCAACCAAGAAGCCCCCAAACCTGGGGCCACTCTGTGCAGGTGCTGGCTCAGTGTTAGGGACATTCCATGGGCTGCATGAGAGCTGGATGTGGGGCCTCCCGGCGTCACAACTCAGCCTTGACCTCCCTCAGGTGCAGCATCATTTGAAAAAGGAAAAGCAATCTTCTCGGCTCCTCTCCCCTGCCTGGTTAGGTCTGGTCTGGTCTGGTTTATACCTCCTGTACATACCCCTTCTAGGGCTCACCGTTCCCCATTAAGCAGGTTTAACTGCATAGCAATGGCAGCACTGTGTGCCTGCAGTCCCAGCCACAAAGAAAAAAAAAAAACACCAACCAGCAAAAACCAGGCAGGTGAGTCCATTGAGTCCATTTCTGGGTCTGCTCAAGGAGAAATAAGCAGAGCTGGGGCAGAGCTGGTTTCTGCCCTCCCCGCAGCCCCCGGCGCAGCCCGCAGGGCAGAGGCAGGGAGCAGGTCTCCACCCTCGGCTCTCTGGCGGGCAGGGATGGAAGAACCCAGCCCAGGTGGTGTTTCATGTATTTATTTATTTTTTTTCTTTCCCCTCCCCGTGCTGTGTTCACCCCTGATCTTTGGACTCTGGAGGAGATGCTGTCCGGCTTCACCCGCAGCTATGGGGCCAGGGAGCAGCTGCCTTCTCCACCATCCCGTCCCTGGAGCAGCAAGCTTGTGGGTATTTTTTTATTTAGAAAGCCCCTAACCCATGATGGAGCAAGCAGAGGATGAGACAACAGCACACAGAATCATAGAATTGTTGAGGTTGGAAGGGACCTTTAAGATCATCAAGTCCAACCATTAACCTAACCTGACAAAACCACTTCTAAACCATGTCCTCAGGTTCCACATCTACCCTTTTCTTAAACACCTCCAGGGATGGTGAATCCACCCCCTCCCTGGGCAGCCTGTTCCAATGTTTGATAACCCTTTCAGTGAAAAAAATTTTCCTAATATCCATTCTAAACCTCTGCTGACATAACTTAGGACCATTTCCTCTGGTCCTATCGCTTGTCAGCAAGGAGAAGAGGTCAGCCCCCACCTCTCTACCCCCTCCTTTCAGGGAGCTGTAGAGAGCAAGAAGGTCTCCCCTCAGCCTCCTCTTCTCCAGTCTAAACACCCCCAGTTCCCTCAGTCGTTCCTCATAAGACTTGTCCTCCAGACCCCTCACCAGCTCCATTGCCCCATAGCGATGGAGCCTGGAAAAGAAAGGCTGTTGCAAAGCAAATAAATGGCACTTTCTGTGATTTGCCCTGTTTGTTCTGAAGCCTCAACCACAGCCCGTTGCACTGGGACATGGAGCCGGGGCTCCGGCAGCCAGCAGGGTGCTGGTGGGCTCTGCTTCACCCTCCTTCATCACCTCCCGGCTGGACCAGAGCAAAGTAGGGAGCTTTCCCACCCGCTTCCTGGGGAGCAAGGATGCTCCAGCCCTGCACCCTCCGTGTTTCCCAGCACAACCTTGACGGCAAGGCTGGGTGGACAACATGCCCCAGATGCCGCCGCAATATATTCTGGTCCCCAACTGGGGTTGGGAACTCTTTGGGCAGAGCCAGGTGAAGCCACGAGCACCACCCGGCTCCTGCACTCACCTCCGCTTTGGCTTGGGAACCGCGGAGTTGTCTCCCACTGGCGGGGAGGAGAAGGGCTCTTTGGAAAAGCTGCTCTGCCCCTGCGTAAGCCGGCATTGCTTATTGTCACCGCAGAAACACAACGGCCTTTGTCCTGCCCGAGTACACCGCCCTGCTGCTCTGCTGCCCCGACAATGCCTCCTTGTCTCTCACATCCATTTCTAACACTCGTGATCGCAAAATATGCGTCGGGGAGAAATATGTATAGGAAAAAGCCCGGTGTGCTCCGGGAGCAGGGGGTGGCACGGGGGAGCTGCCCTGCTCCGGCTGCCAAGGGAAGAAAGGCGGGAGGGAAGTTTTGGGGAGCAGTGGGTCTCAGTGGATGGGAGGTGGACAAGCGTGTTTAATGGGATGGCCCCAGCAATGGGCTGGAGAGGTGGGACCAAGGGCAGGGTTGAAGGGTCCCTTCTGCTGATCCTCGCTCTGTCTCTCCTTCCTGATGCTCTGGCAAGACACCCCCCGGCAGAGCCCTTCCACGGCCCTTCCCTGAGCATGTGTTCCTGTGTTACAACCAGCTCAGCCATGCCCAGGGAGCTGGAGCAGGGGGCCAGGTCTGTGCAAGCTGTTTACGAAGGTATTGTTAGATATAAGGAAGAAATTTTTTTACACTAAGGGTGGTGAGACACTGGCCCAGGTTGCCCAGAGAGATGGTGGATGCCCTATCCCTAGACACATTTCAGGCCAGGTTGGACAGGGCTCTGAGGAACCTGATCTAGTTGAAGATGTCCCTGCTCGTGGCAGGGGGGGTGGATCAGGTGGCCTTTAAAGGTCCCTTCCAACCCAAACCAGTCTATGATTCTGTGGTTCTGTGTTTCACAACAGCTGCTCACAGCACGTCCTGCTGCCACCTCCCCCCGCCCCCAGCGCTGCCCCAGGGAGAGGGGACAAGCAAACAGGCTCCCCCCCAAAGCAGTGAAGCACCACGGGCAAACACTGGGGCGGGTCATGCATGGCGTCATACGCAGCTGAACTCCCACCCCTGCACACACATGCTGCACTTGAGGTCCCGGGTACCGGGGGAGAGCAGCAGCAGGAGTTTATTCTGCGGTTGCCACCAATGCTGAAGCAATAGAGAGGTGATGCTGCTGCCCGTTTTGGTGGTGCAAAGACCACTGGGCTTGGCTGAGAGCAGCCACCAAAGCCTGGCTGCCGGGGAGGACAACCCGGGGGGCTGAATCCCGTGGGCACCCTGGGAGCAACCCCACACACCTCAGTCGGGGTCGCCGTGCTTCATACAGCCCCCCCGGACCCTGCCAGGGGCTGTGGGTGCCAGGATGGGACCCACTGGCCTGTGCCATGTGGGGATGCCCGTGCGGATCGGCTCGTGCCCGGTGCTGGCATCGAGCC